TGATTTATGAGCGCTGCTTAAGTTCGGCTTAGAGTCATGCCAAAACAGGCCGACGAGATAAGCGCACATTTATCTATAGAAGTTACGGAATAATTATGCGAAAGCGTTACATTTTTAAGAGAAACAAAGAGAGACCTGCGGGAAGCACATTTTCACAGCGTGATTTAGCAAAGCCCAATCAACCCCCTTGCGGGAGGACAATTAACAGAATTAAAAGTTGGAATTTTAATTATCATACAAATTAGGGGGAAATTAATCAGCTCATATTTTATGACCACTGCGCTCTCAGCCTTGCCAGTTGAGGTTTTATGGCAAATCTTTTGATTAATTGAGATGCAGCATGAAAGCATAAAATCTAAACTTGAGTGGCATTTTAATACTCAACCCTCTCGTTCATTTGTTTCCCCGGCATTAGGAAAAGAAAGTGAAAGCTCTTTGTTTACCTTGCAGCTCCACCAGACGCTGCCTTTTTTGCCTTAAGTCTGCCTTCCCCAACCTGGTGCCCTCCAGATATTTTGGACTACAATTCCCATCAGCTGCTGACAGGCTGGGGCTGATAGGAGTTGTAGTCCAAAACATCAGGTTGGGAAGACTTCCTTAAGTGTTCTCTAGCACTCTATTACACTTCCTTTGTTTCAATATAGAGAAAACTTCTAATCGGTGCTTTTTTCTACAAAAACAAGTTGCAGGAACTCACCACCTCAGTCGTCAACCTGACGCCATAGGGAAACCAGAATTTCGTGACAAGATGCCAGGTTTGCGGTTCAACCTGCCACCTGCTTTGGCCGCCATCGTGCCCGTATGCACCTCGCCCCCAACAGTTCAGACCGCTTTGGCTGCCATCCTGAGAACCTTGCTGCTTGGGAACTTCCTTTGCTGGGTGAGTGGACTTCTAGGACAAAGCAAGGCAAAAAAGGTGCCAGAACTGCATTCTGGCATGTTCTGGCAGAAAAAAGCCCTGCTTCTAATTCTGGTGGCAACTGGAGTGAGTGTTGGCATATACCCAGGGATGGGTGAATATGTCCATTTTGGTTTATCTCAGTTTTCCATGGCTAGCTGTAGTTTCCCACATTTTCTCATCAGTTTTTTTTAAGACGTTACGAAAATGTTTTGGTATTTTAGCACAATTCTCCTAATAGACACATTTTTGTATGCAGCTTTATTTCATATGCAGAGTTTTTGCAAGTCATTTCCCCATATAAATTGTAGGTTTGTATGTTATTTTTCCTAATATTTTGCACATCACCTTGGGGCATATGGGGCTTCGTTTGTGCCCCCAGGTTTGAGGTTCCTCACCACTGCTTGTAGGGCTCCATCCTGTCCTCTCATCTGTTCCGTATTTATGTGAAACTGCTGGGTGAGATAGTTTGTGGGTCTGGCACTAGGTATCTTCAATATATTGATCATGCACACTGATATTTTCTATTTTGATATGGTCCGGACACAAGACTGAGGGCATGTTGGTTGATGAATTTTCTGGTGTGAGGAGGAGAGCTAGAGATGCGGCATGTGCACCCAAAGGGAAACTTGCATAAAAGCTTCAGAGAACATTAGAGAAACAGCAGTCCAAAGATAATAAACAGTGGCAGAGGAGGACATTTTGCCTATAATACATCTTGACATGAAATATTGCTCAGTTCTTACCTACTTAAAATGCAGAGTAGAGTGTGCTCCAGGAGGCCACAATATGTTGCCATGTATGATAGGCTAGGAATACAGCCAAGGATGGCACTGGTCAATTTTTTTCTAGCCCTTGAAGCGTCAACTAAGATGCCTTACATATCCCCCTGTTGGAGATTCTAACCCTGTTCTGTAATCATTCGTGAGAAGTCGCGTTAGGAACCATCAAAAGGAAATGCTACAGCTAATGGTCAATAGCTAGAGATTCATGTTCAATTTGACTAGTTTTATTTCCGCCAGAAAGGCTCGACTGGCACATGCTGCGGTCTGAATATTTCGGGAACCATCTGCTGGGATGTCTTTATTTTCTAGCCCAGCTCCATTTGCATCCATGATCAGTACTGTGCATTTGGCTGGAAACAGCAGGCTGCAATGGTTCTGCTTGTCAGTATTTGCTTCAGCCAATCTAGGGCTGCAAATTAGCCTTACTTCCAGATCAAAGCATGACTACTCCCAGGAAATCTCAACTGTCTGAGGCACAGCAGAAATATGGATCTTGCATAATAACTTCTGCCTAGTACAAAATGCAGTCTTTAACCTCTCATATACCTTCAGAAATATAGTGTCTGCATAGTAACAGGATGGAAAATATATGTGCCTAAGATTGGGATGGAAAAGTCTTGTCCATTTTGGTTCTCTCGCTTTCCCGGTTTCCCAACCTGAAATTCACTTCTCTGCAGCAATTTAATTCTTTAGCATTAGAGTGTGATTTTCTGCTAATGAAAACATTTTCATTAGTTTTGACTAGTGCACACATTTTTGCAAGCAACTTCTAAGTATGTTATTTCTGCTAATATATTCATTTTAAAGCACGCATGCCTCTTATTTATGCATTTTTGTAAACATTGGGCAGAGAGCTGCATCATAAAATTTGGTGTGAATTTCCAAGGCTGGGTGTGTTTTGGGTCTCCTTGTTTTTGGGAAATGAATATTTGATAGATTCAGTTTTAAACATGAACTGAATTGAATTTCTCCTCCATCCTTAGGGTAAGGGTAACTACCCAACTGCATGTGGGCAATTTGTTTGATGGAGGTAGGAAGGAAGGAAGTTTCATCCATGTCCACCAACACTTACCCACAGAGCGCCTAGTGTCCAAGAGACAACAGCATTCCAATTGCCACAGAGGGCCCCCAGGTTGAACCAATTTTCTGCTGGTTAGTCATGTGTAAAAGTGGCCTTTAACAGGAAACACAGCTTTTCATCTGCGTAATGCAACTTCAAAGCCTCTGATTTTGCTCATGCCTCCAAATGGTCAGGGCATTCTGCAGCCAGATGGTGTGGAATTAAGGATTGCTCTGCAGGGCTGACTAGTGACATGGAAGTGATTATTTTAATTAGCCCAAGATCAGATTCTGGATGACAAATGAGCTCAGACCCACTGTCTCAGAACAGACGCAATTTATGGTTCAAACACAGCCTCCTGACCTCAGCAAAAGTTATTCTAAACATAAGGATAGAATTAGGGCTGTGCTTTGACAGAAAAAAGTTGAACGCAGCTCAAGCTGGACTATTTACATTTCAGATTCATAATCCAAATGCTGTACTAGCATATGAAGATTGCAGGAAAAGCATATGCGATAACTTCAATGGACAAGCAGTTAACAGGTTTGTCCCCAGAAAGTTTACCCTTCAAGGCTGCTCCAAGAAGGAATGGAAACCTCGGACCTTTGATGCATATGCAATAATCCATAATGGTCCTCCTGTGAGTCTTGACTTGGTGTACAAAGTTTTCCACGTTTTGTGTCGCCCATAATTTGGCAAGTCAGGATAAGACAGAACAAGGCATCCCATTTACCTCAACAGAGAGTGCTCCTCTCTTTGTGTGGCTGGGACAGATTTGCCACACACCCTTTTTCTGGGAGAAGACTTAAGTTGAGATCTCCCAAGGGAGGAGGTCTAGGGGAATACAGGGGTAGGAGTGCCCAATAGGAAGGGCCAGCTGGCTGGCAAGTTAAGCTGCCTCCATGCCCACACCTCCACCTGCAGCACCCACCCCCCCCCCGCACAATTTAGGCTTTTGCTATTCACCTTTTGGGGCTCAGCAGGAATAATTTTGGGAGTCTCTGATGAAGTAGCTAATGAAGCTGTCAAAAAAGGGTGAAGGATCTGGGGTCCCTCTTGAGCACTACAGAAGTGTGCCAGCTCAAAAAGAAGTATTTCAGCCATCCTCTGTGTGGTTCCTGGTTGCCATTTATTGCCCTACCTCCACCCCAAGCCTCTCTTGCTTAGTTCCCGGTGGGGCTTCAAGAATGTGCTCACCACTGAGTCAGGGCTTTTGTATACTTTTATTACGATTATTTTGGATTTTGGTATTGTCAGTGAAGCTGTTCCAAATGGCTGGAACGTTCCATCAGCTTGTTTATTGGGACTCCAGGACACTTGGAACCCTTGGGCAGTAGAAGACATTGACTGAGAGGAGGTCTATCTGACCAAACCAAGTGCCTGGAGGGGAGGGGCCAGAAGGCAGTTAGGGATGTCATTCCTGTGCAATAATGCTGGTGGATCTTGATGGCCAGTCTGGATGGATGCTGTAATGCTAAGCTGAAGAGCATACTTCTGTCTATAGTCAGGCACATAGCTATAGAGAAACATGGCGGAGAAACCCAGGCAGGGGAGGCATGGCAGCCCTTGGATCCTTACGCAGCCCAGGACCCCTACACCTAAAGAATCATCTTTCCCCACAGGAACTTGCATGGAACCTGTGATCCAAGAGATGTCTGGAGGGTGGTGGCGAGAGATGGGTCTTTTCTGTGATAGCTCCCCATCTATTGAACGCCCTCTCCAAAGAGGCCTTCCTAGCAGCAAGTTTGTCATTGTTTTGGCACCAGGCAGATGTTTTTGTTTGCATTATGTTTGTACAGTGATTTAATGTTTTTATTCTGGCTGTTTGACTATCTGATATTGGGTGGCACTGGCTGTGAAAGCAGCTCCAGAGGATCCTTAGCATCACACCCCGCCCTTTTGGAAAACCTCATTTCAGAGCTTTCCACTGGGCTCTGCCAGCAGGAATACACATGTCTGGTGGACAGAAGGGTGAGGTTTGTGTTGGTGCTTCCAACAGAACCTAGCAGAGGGGCACCTGCACTCAGTCCAATCCTTCTTCAGTCTGATAAGAGTTGTTTTTATTATTATTGCAACCTAAGAATTATAAGCTATTAGCCTGCTAACCTTGGTGTAGCACTGAACAACCTTTTGGTCATCAACTCGATGTACAGTTCAGTAGAGCAGCAAATGCATGACAGACAGGTGTGCATCATTTGATAATGTTGAGAATATTGAAATACTATGACGAGAGAATAAAGGCATTCCACACATACTGTAGATGGAAACAATTTGTTCATTCACTGATTACCACACGTGAGCCGGAACAACATTGGCAACATCCATGTTTTTGTTTTGTATTTTACTCTTGTACTTACAACAACTGCCCTTGTGCAATTCAGAGTACATAATCATGATTGGTGAAACATCATTACTAGAGCGAGCTCCCCCCCCCTTTTAAGCCCCAAACTAACAAACAATCAAGAGCACTAAAAAGTTCCAGATGGCAAGGTGTAAGCAAACTCTTCCCAGATGTAACATCTGGCTTTTTGACAAACTCCTCGAGTTGGTCCTTTCCTGAAGTCTTGCCATAAGATCAGACAACGAGCCGATGGCCTGAAATAGTGGCCTGGTTTTAGATCTGCTCCTATTTGCTCTTTTCTTTAAAGCAAAACAAAGCAAAACAAAGCAACAAAATACAGAGAATTTTGTTGTTATAAGCAACAAAAACAAAGCCCTTCCTTGAGGCTCTTCTCTCTTGTGTCGCCTCCAAGAGATGTTTTGAGGGTGGCAGTGAGGGAAAGGGCCCTCTCTGTGGCAACGCAGTCGCCCATTATGGAATGCTGTCCCCTGGGAAGTTCACCTGGCGTTGACTCTGTTATCTTTCTGGCGCCAGGCAAAAACATTTTTATTTTCTCTGGCGTTTGAACTGTATTAATGGTCCAAATTATAGCAGCTGTTTCTAGTCATCATTCCTGTGTTAGGTGGGGTGGATAGTCTTGTTTTTTTATTACTTTGTGTGCAGATTTATTTTTTTACTGTGTTTGTATTGCTTTTCTGGGGATCTTATTAATTTGTTATTTTACTTTTCTTGAAAAGCTACAGCCACATCGTACTTTTGTAGGAAACGTATACATTTTTTGTGCATTCCACAGTCTCCACTTCAAACAGTTTTTTAAGTGTGCTGAGACTTGTCATGAGATCTCCCACAGAACTATAATTCCCAGCACCCTTAACAAACTACAGTTCCCATGAATCTTTTGGGACAACCCATGTCTGTTAAAGTGCTATAAGAGTGCTTTAGACATATGGTGTGGATATAACCTAAACCTCCTTTGGGACTCATTTCAGTTGCGCAAAGTGATAAATAAATTTCATAAACTAAATGAAAGATTAGTAATGAATAAAACAAATCCATAATTATTTATGAGCTAATCACACATGGAGTAATTTTCCTCCTGCGGGTGGTTTCTTATTACTCCCCCCGTTTTCTGCAGTAATAAGGAAACTTATTTCCCACTAGCCCTCTGTGTGCCTTGGATAAACATTTCCAAGTTTTTAAATGCAATGACTGAAGAATGAAACACCAGTCTAATTATTGTTCAGTACTGTCTGTCAGCACCTCTTTATAATTTAGCAATACTACTAAGGAGGAAGAGCAGAGGAATAATCCTTGCAACTTCTGTTCCTCATTGCTAGCATGCAGTGGTGACTAGTGCCCATTCAAACTGAGGGGGAGGAAGCCAGGGAGTTCCACAGTAGGTGGCGACAGAGTCAACAATTGCAGAACCAGCTAATTCTAATTTTGCCCCAATTTTGCTCCCTCCTGGTTTTTAAAGGAGAAACACAGAGATGGAGGAAATGGAAGCTACCAAGGGGTGTCATCCTCTGGACTGGATGTATGCAAGAAGGCAGGCAGGTGGGAACAGGCTTAGAGCAGATTGAAGTTGGTGGGGCAGAGCTCCACTTGCCCTATACTGCTAACATCCCTCTGTGCCCTCAAATTCTTAAGAAAGTTGGACCTTCAAGGAAAATGCCTGACCTGGCTCCCATAGAAATCACTGGGAAGCTTGCCTCTGAACTCTGCGAAACCTGATTGAGTTGTGAACACGGGCTGCCTTACTAAAGTAGTTGCTTTGTCGATATTAAATTCTACGCAGCATTTGAAATCTTTTTTCAAGGCGTATTATCTGTTGAAACTTCTTTCACAGCAAGGGCATGCTTGTTTATGGAATGTCATATTTCACCTGTTGTTGAGAAATGCCCACGTCTTAAAGTTGAGTGCTAGAAGAAATCTTTCGGCGACCAAATTTGCATTCGGTGTCCTTGTGCACTAGGAACAACAGAAGAAAGAAATGTTGAAAATGAGGATACTGATGGTTTGGTAAATAATTCTTTGAGTGGCTATGGGGGGAATGCTAGTAAATTCTACAAGTGGATCTGTATGAGGGATGAATGAGATGAATTGGGGTGATTCAGGGGTCTCCCCTGTCCACAAGGCAAATGATGATGCCATTAATCTTTGCCCAAGTCAAATTAGGGTCCCCACAAAGTCTTGTCACTGAATTGTTTCTGTACTTTTATGTACCATATAGGTCTACCTTTTCCTCTATTTCCATGTTTCTCTAGATTAGGGGTGGGGGACCTTTTCAGCCTGGCAGACTGGAATCTGAGGTCCCCTCACTCCAGGTAGGCCATAGCATCAGGGGTGAAGCAGGTGGGTGTAGCTTGGGGGAAACAGCCACACATGCCCAATTAGGGGCCTGTTGGGCAGAAGTAAGCCAATAGGACCAGAGGCTCCCAATTGCTGGGGGAGGTCCTTGGCTTTTGCAAGAAGTGAGAATGTCCAAAATGTTACATGCGGAGCACAGGAGACAGCAGGATTTTTTTTTGTTAAAGCAGATCAGCAGAGTATTTTAAAGATTAAGATAAATGCTTTATTTAAGTTTTTTAAAATCCTATGTTGCTCTGATTTAACAAACAAGCAACCCTACCCTCAAAAAAGCCACCAAAATCTTTCAGAACTTTGGAGGCAACATTTTGGACAGCCTCAGACTGAAGGTCCACTGAATATATCCCACATTGCTAGAATCCTTCCCTTAAAAATATTCATAGTTATAAACAAGAATAGGCACTATTTACAAATTAATTACAGCTGCTGTCAAGCACAAAACAATAAAATGATAATTAATAAAGCCTACACAAGAATTTCCTCCTATAGCTGCCCGATTATAACACATCTGTAATTTATAAACATATAATATTAAAAATTGAGCATTAGAAAATAGATGACATTTAATAGGACTCAGCAATAGGTCATTTTAGTTGAACAGCTTTGATAATGGCGGGGAGCACCTATGAAAGCTGTTGGCATCTTGCTGGAGGCCATATGTAATTACGCCAAGTCATATTGTCTCTGTTAGGCATGGCATGCTTTTGGTCCTTAGAAGGGATTCCCTATCAGAAATACAACAAATATTTTATGCTTCCTCCTAGTGTTTTAAATGGATTTTGTTCTTTTTTGGAATCTGCATACCACATATTCAAGGGCTTCTATGGGTGGGGAAAGTCTGCAATTGCAAAATAGTAACAGCGTAACATTGAAACTGCTTCCTTGTGGTCCCCAGGCAATGAATTCACAATTAGCCACTAATGAATTCTCTTTAAGACTTGATGTTTTGTCTTCATATCCACCACTTCTCAGATAAAAAATATTTTTGTCACTCATTTCTGTTCACTGCCTCTGTAATTTGAGTTGGGTACTGTAGGAGCGACATTTCTTTTGTGCTGGCATTTCAACTGTGTCCCCTGGTTTCAATTAGGAGCCTCTTCTCCTCCCACTGTCTAGCTACATACTGTCTTGCCTCTCTGGTCAACTGCTGCTCCAAGATGCTACCTCAGCATTTGTCCACCCCACTCCAAGTGATTGCTTCAGATGTTCGGAGAAGGATGAATAATTGCCTATTGGATTCCAGTTAGCAGAGGTCAAGGTGATATCTGCCTGGCCTCTTCTGGACTTGCCATACAACTTGCTGTTATTACATGGGTTATTCAAGCCTATAATCGGCTGAGTTCCACTGAGATGGAACCGTCTGCTTCAGTGAATTGTTTTTTTGCAGCACAGCCGCCAGGATTTTTCTGCCCTGGACAGCAGGAACAGGAGCGGTCGGTAAATTTTTACTCGTGCAAACCCATTCTATTTTTAGTTATTATGTAGTAGATGAGTAATGAACAAGAACAAGCAGTGCTTTTGAAGCACAGTGACTCCCCAAAGCTACAGTAGTTTGTACAGCAGTGTTTTAAAATGTTGCGTTGTTGTTTTGGACTGACTGAGAGCACAAATCGTCGTGCCCCCACCGTAAAATATGCTGGGAGGAATCACTGTGTACCAGAGTTTGTTCTGAAGGAGGATTTCTTCTTACAGATGTCTCAGGCAGAGGCAGCCCAGGGAAAATCTTGAATGCAAATGGATGACACTCACCAAAATTAAGGAGACATTCATAAGAATGAAGCAGAAAAACACAAGTCTTCTTCCACGTGAAAAGAAAGCTTTTGAGAAATTGGATGAGCTTTCAGCACAGCACTACTGCAGACCAGCCTTCTCCAATTTGGTGTCCTGCAGATGTCTGGGACTACAGCTGCCATCTTCCCTGACCATTAGCAAAGCTGGATAGGACTGATGGAAGTTGTAGTCCAAAATATATTGGAAGACACCAAGTTGGAAGAGGCTGACATAGACTATACTGAGCCAGATGGACCGGTGGTCTTACTCAGCATAAGACAGCTGCTTTTAATCTGAGCAGCTTTCCATTTCTCCACAGAAGCTCCTAATTGAAACTGCATCAAATGGACATCCATCAAAACTTTGAACCATGCTGGAAAACACAGAAAGTAGGGAAGTTGTGTATGACTCCCCACAGATCACATTTCTGTACTAAAGCGGCATGATGAAGGACTACAGTTCTTGTGAGGTTTTTCCAGATCAATTTCCTTCCAGAAGGTGAGTCTGGATGACATTCAGAAGAATATCTGAGCAACTGGTATAGATTACTATTGCTCTTGAGGCTATGGCTTCCAGGTATCGGAGACGCCTGTGTATACTGCACATATGTTGCTTCCACTGAGGAAAAACAAGTGGGATTAGCTATAGGATCCCAGGCTCAAAATTGGTATTTTTCTTGCTGCAACTTGACTTGCTATAAAAATGGTTACGAAGGCAAATTCTGTGAGCTAAGCTTGGCAGCCCTAGCCTGAAGAAACAGCCTGCCATACCCTTAAAAAAATATTGCTCTTTATACTTTGCACAATTGGCCAAATTTGTTTGAGCCATATTAGGTGCTAATTCAATGGACACAGTTAGTGTGCATTTTCCTATTATGTAAATAGAAGCTAGGGTGAAGTTTGAGCAACTGCTAAACAACGGATGAGGGAACTTGTAATCATCTGGATATTGATAGATTCTATTTTAATTTTTAATCTTTTGCTTGAGGCCCTCCCCCCCCCAATTTCTATACCAGCATTCATCAGAGGATCACAAAAAAGTTTACAATATAAAAACACAAAAATGTACAACACAGTAACAAACAAAAACAACCCCCCTCAGTGTCTCCCATCAGCCCCAGCCAGAATGGCCAGTGATCAGGGATGATAGGAGTTGTGGTCCAATAACATCTAGAGGGCCACCAATTCTCCTTCCCTGTTCTAAACCATGAATGGGGACATCGCTTGAAATGCAAATAACAGCATCAGAGTGGAGATGCTTGTTGACAGGTAGAGGAAGAGTTAAACTCCCCTTTGCTATGATCCTGTGTCTGCTGTAGCTTCCCCTGAGCTGCTTTTCATTCACAGGTGCACTTTACCTGCATGCCTAAGTCTGGCCCACAGTAGTTTTCATGCAAAGAAATAAAATATAAAACGTACAAGATGCTTACCTGAAAGCTGATCGCAATTCAAAAAGACAAAACTTAGCAATCTCCACACACATGCACACGCACCTTAAAACAGCATGGACTCTATCTACAAAGCTTCTGTCACAGGGTCTAGGATTGCCTACAACTCAGATAATCAAAATAATAAACTGTAAAGGGGGGCTTGCCAGATAGACGGTGAGTTAGCTGCCGCACCCCATGAGCCCACCACCAGAGTGAGCAACAGACAGAAGAGCCCACCCTCAGCACATTCGCAAAGCTTCCATCTGCTGCTGCAGAAGGAGAAAATGCAAGAAATGCCTCCAGCCAGAATTAGAGACTTTGAAAAATAACGAAGCCTGTGGCTGGCTATGCAGACCTACGGTGGCTAAGTGGTTGGGGCATCCAACAGGGTTTCAAAGCCTTCTCAATGCATGTATAAAGACCAGAGTGCCTGTTTCAGTTAAATTCATGTAGTGACTACAAGTGGGCCAGTTAGGAAGAAGGAAGCTGCCTTGTACTGAATCAGAGCACTGGTCCTTCTAAGGTCAATATTGCATGCACTGACTGGCCGCAGATCTCCAGGCAGACATCTCTTCCAGACCTACCTGGCAATTCTGGAACTGAACCTTCTGCGTCCAAAACGGCTGCCCCACCGCCGAGCTACATCCCTTCTTCATTTTTTTAAAAGCTCTCCTAGCATATCAGAAATCACTTTCTCTCTGAATTAATTTACACTTTTATCCTGCCCCTTCTCCCAGTGCTCTGTGTTTTCCCCTTTCTGCTCCCGCCCTTTATCCTCCAAACAACCCTGCAGAAATTTGGTCCTCTATAACCAGTGGACCTTGGATTTCTTGGGCTCTCCTTCCCACCTACCTTGAAAACATGCATTCTGAAATGGGAATAAATTATGCATATTAGCTCAGTACAGTCACACCATTGAACTTATCTGTGCAAACCTGAGGGCTAGGAACATTTTAAAGAATGAAAGTCCAAATGCTCATGATTTTTTCATAAGACTCATGGCTACAGGCTTTTAAAAATAGGCTTTTACAGGCTTTTATGATTGCAGGCTTTTATCTACTTATATCCTCTCTACCACCCCTCCCTATTACAAGCCCAAGGGATAGTGTTAGCGTTCTTGCTCGCATAAATGCAGAAATTGTTACACCCCTTTTACAGTCAAATCAAAAATTCATACATGTAAATAATTCTTGCCAGCTTCTCCATTTTCTACCAGACGCATTCAAAGCTATTATCAGAATTAGCACACTTAGCTGGTTTTGAACCCACCTTTTATCCCACAGATCTTCACCTCCAGAGCCACCAGATGGGTCAAGTGACTGCATCTTGCCACTTTTATCACATCGCAACTTTCATCACATTGCATGGCAACTCAAATGGTCGCTGATACTTTTTTAAAAAACCAAAAAAAACCCCCAGCACATAAACATGTGTAATTCCACTATGATGATCTTACACCATTGAAACAATTCTGATTAAGCAATTCTGATTAAGATGGGGTATGGATGCAGCATAGGTTAGCTTTGCCTTATGCTAGAGCTTTGTTGTTGCCATTAATTATTATTATTATTATTATTATTATTATTATTATTATTATTATTAATACTTTGAATTCTTACCTGCCCCTCACCCTAAGGTCCCAGAGTGGATGTTGAATCACCTTGTAAATGGTTCATAAGACTGGGCTGACACAAGCTCTGCAGATTGATTTTGGAGGACAGCTGAGTTCATGCTGACCCTTGATCCCAAAACGGTAGGACTGTTTTCAATAACTAGATCCTCATGCAGTTCCATCAGGATTGCAGTAAGTCCTCTGGTGGATCCACAAGACAGCATGAAGCTATCTTACATAATAAGTGGCAGATTGAACAGCATTCTGCTATTCTAGAATGCATTCTTCTTTTAACTGTGTTTTAGTGCTCTTGTGTGAGACTCGGAGCTAACCATAGAATATTGACTCGCTTGGGCCAGTAGAAGCAGCAGACATAGCAGTGCCTGCTTTATCTATCAACTAGGCATTAAGAGCAGGCTGTTGTCTCTGTTCTCTGTAAGTTACTGATTCTGTCAACACCACGAAGGTGAACTCAATAGGTTATTGTCACGGGGGAAGCAGTGGTGAAGAGCAAAGCAATTTGTGATTTAATTATTTTTTTGCAAGTTTCCAGTTCTCTTGTATTATACAAAATGTCAAACCCATTTTGGAAAAGAAAGCATTTCAAAAGTCTCTGCTCACTTTATGCACTGGAACTTGGAAGCCCTTTAAATTAATCATTTCTGTTGCAAGCTCAAAACATTTAGCTTCTTCCTTTTGCCTGTGGAAGAGCTATGTGTGGGAAAATGATTGCTTGTACATGAGAGCATGAGCAAAGTTCTTATTGTTACAGGGTGATTTCATAGCTAGAAGCATCCTTGGAGCATGAACAGCGCGTGAACAGCTCGTGCTGTCCCATATGATTGGCTAACGTAGTATGGTCTGATCGCTCGCATGGTCTAGTACCAAGGTTCTTATCTGCTTGCTAGAACAAATTGCTTGGCTTGTATTTTTGTATCTTTCTATTTCACACATTTCACACAATAAAAGCTGTGCTGCATTAGCCCTAGAGCAGCCATATTTCGGAACCTATCTTGGTGTGAGACTGATTTTCCTCTGAATGCCGAGCTGCAACTCGACAATTGGTGCCCCGTGTGACTGCCTTCGAACTTCACGTTGTTTTTCATTATTCAGCACTCACCAACACATCGTTCATCCACGTAGTGGATCCCTGGTGAGTGCTCCCGTGTGATTGCCTTCGGACTTCATGTTGTTTTTCATTATTCAGCACTCACCAACACATCGTTCATCCACGTAGTGGATCCCTGGTGAGTGCTCCCGTGTGATTGCCTTCGGATTCAGCACTCACCAACACGTCGTTCATCCACGTAGTGGATCCCTGGTGAGTGCTCCCGTGTGACTGCCTGTTTTTCATTATTCAGCACTCACCAACACGTCGTTCATCCACGTAGTGGATCCCTGGTGAGTGCTCCCGTGTGTACAACGTTCAGCTCTCACCTCGCCCCGCAAGGGCTGCAGACGCGTCATTCATCCACGTAGTGGATCCCCGGTGAGAGCTCCCGTGTGAATGTGATTCTGGACTACGTTACGGTCTTATCAGCACTTATCTCCGCCCGGACAGGGCAAAAGGCGCCTCTCTCTCATCCTCCTACGGATCCCTCGGTAAGTGCTCCCTGCTCTTTTTGCAACTCTTGCAATCATGGGAAAATCTCTCTCTGCACCACAGAAAAAAATTTTTAAAGACCTTAAATTCCTTTTGGCCAGTAACAACCTTGCTGTTCGGAAAGCTGACCTTAAGTCCCTTATAAAAGCCCTGGACACTCACTGCCCCTGGTTCCCCCAGGACGGAAATTGGGAGTTAGACGATTGGAAAAAAATTGGACACTTCTTTCAAAATCATCCTCAGATTGATGTCAAGGTTTTGCACGCCTGGAGTAACGTCTACAAAGCTATGTCGTGCTTAACTCCTTCAAACATTCTTCTGGCTGCCGCAACAGCTTCTTCGCCCGCCCTCCCAGCTCCCGCTTTGCCTGCCTCAAACATACCTCCTAAACCGCCGGACATTCTCCCTCCGGCTTCTCCCGTCACTCCCCTGCATTCTTCAAATTCTGCAGCACCCCCCGCTCTTCCACCTCCTGCGCCCAAGGCATTTGGCACCGCTTCTACTACTCCTCTCCAAGAATCTCTCCGTGCCGCTGCTCCGTTGTTGGATTTTGACTGTACAACTCCTAATCTCTTCCCTGTGATTGCTCCTGCCGCGCCAGGGGGAGGCCCAGCCCGGCACGAACAGTTTGATTTGAGATTCATAAAGGAACTGTATTCCTCTGTCAAGGACAATGGCCCTGCACCCCCAGCCCCTGTTATGCTGAACCAAACTGATGTTCTCGATGGGCTGACGGGAGAAGGCAATTTTCTTACTGTTGCCCAACAGCTAACTCTCGATCCTCAATATTGGGAGGCCACCACGGCTGCTGCCCAAGAAGCTTTGTCCTCTGTTCCTGATGACAAGAATGAGCGCGGTGGCAGCATCAGACAGGGTCCTACAAAGCCCTATGGACAATTTGTCGATCGCTTGGATAACACCCTTAAACTGCAAGTTCAGGACGTAGCAGCCCAAGAACTGATTGTCCGCCAGCTTGCATATGATAATGAGGACTGTAAGCAAGCGCTGCGCCTTCTAATGGCAACATCAAATATAGTCATTGCAGATGTGCTTAAAGTCTGCCAGTCAGTGGGCACTGAGATGCACAAAGCTCGCCTGCTAGCCACGGCTTTGTCCTCCACCGTGCCCCAGAATCCTGCAAAGGATAAAACCTGCTTTGGATGTAGCAAAGTGGACTATTTTCGTGCGCAGTACAGATCTACCGCACAGCAATGTCACTCCAGCACAAAGTGCTCCATCTTTGATACAGGCCAGGACTTGTCAATTTTATGAAGCACATCTTAGATCACATATTGGTCACCCTGGTTATTTGGCAACAGGAATTTTACGCCTGCTGAACTTCATTTCCGGAAGGAGGAAGTATTGCAACGCCCTTTAGTGTCATACAGGTTGCTTCCAGATCCACAGTGGAAGGGTCCAACTTCCTTGATTTCCTGGGGTCGCGGATTTGCGGCAATTGACGTAGACGGAGTTCCCCGATGGGTTCCAGCCCGCTGTGTTCGACCTTGGCGCTCTTCTGTTGCCTCGTCTTCGCCCAAGGAGACACCAGCGCCTTGAAACTGTATTTTACGCTGACTGCCAGTGATGACCTCCCACCTAATCTCAACCTGCACTGAAATTGGAGACATCGCCATATTGATGTGCCCTGGATAAAGTCACCTTCCACAGCTGTTCCAGTGTTTCCTGGCACGCTGAAAGGCCATCTTCATCCCTACTGCATTGGCCCCCCTTTTCCCTGGGAAGCCACTTCAACTACCAAACATCATTACAGTTTTGCTGCCTCCTAGTAGCAACCATCCCATCTGTGTCATCACGCTTCATTGGGCTTGGACTTTTGACTAAGCAGTACAAGGAGCAATTCATCAGGCTTATTTACAGCAAATGGGCTCCTGTATCTGCAGAAATAGTTGTGTGACTTCTCCTGGATTGTGGTTTTTACATGCCAATAATCGAGCCACGAAATATCACACAGGTTGCTCGGAAGTAGCCATTGGACTAATTTACCATTCTCATCCTTATTGGCATCACTTGGATTTTACCCCCCAGATTTTTTTTTCTCCTCCCTCAGGAGTCCTGCCCTATGATGTGTTCCCCTGAGCATGTACAGAAAGCTGTCTTGGAACTATTGTGGACTCTTGGCAAGGGAGGGGGTGAGGGGAATTTCTGTGTGTTCCACTTGTTTCATTCTTGTGCTTTGGCATGGTTCCCGGACAGAGAGCAAGTTGCAATGTGGTTCTTCAGCAAGGCCTGGAAGACAATGGACTCTGTTCTCGACCTTGTTGCAGTCTTTTTAGTTACAGCAAGCGGACTATGCTTGGCTACTGCCTTTTTTTAGCTGCTGAGAAAAATGATTTTTAAAAGCTTCTTGAAGCTTTGAGTTTTTTTTGGTGGTGGTATTCTAGCATTCCAGTAAATGCTTCATATAAGATTAGCAATAATATGCAGGACAATCGTATAAGTTTTTAGGTCATTATCTATATTGTAATTCGACCTATGAGTACATTAATGGATCTTCTTGTTTTTTTAATGTTACCACTTCTGCCTTCTTTAGGTGCAGCCATGAATTACCGTGATTTGCATAAATTGGCAAACTGGACAGAAAATTTGTTTAATTCCACCATTTTGGCTTTAAAAAATGATTAACAAAGAAATATCAGAAATAAGAAATGTAGTTCTTCAACATCATTATGCTTTAGATGTGATCCTTGCTTCTAAAGGTGGAATTTGTGCCTTAATTCATTCTCATTGCTGCATGTATATAACTGATCAATCAACCAATATCTCTGCTACTATTGATCATATGGAACAAATGATAGCCCATAATCCTTTGAATCCACCTGAAGGTTTTGATCCATGGGAGTGGTTGTCTTCTTGGTTACCCAATGGAGTATGGTTAAGAAAAGTATTATTGATTGTAATTGCATGTATTGTTGGTTTTATTATGGTATGTTGTTGCATTCAATGCATACCCTCTTTGATTTCCCAATGCACTGCATGGTGGTACCGACCACGGCCCACCACAGGGGTTACAAGAGGAATTTATGTTGCAAGGTGTAGACGCTTAGGCAATGAAGTGTACGATTTGGACTGATGGTCCCTCTTTTCCTCTGATAATATAAACAAGAAAAGGGGATATGTGGGAAAATGATTGCTTGTACATGAGAGCATGAGCAAAGTTCTTATTGTTACAGGGTGATTTCATAGCTAGAAGCATCCTTGGAGCATGAACAGCGCGTGAACAGCTCGTGCTGTCCCATATGATTGGCTAACGTAGTATGGTCTGATCGCTCGCATGGTCTAGTACCAAGGTTCTTATCTGCTTGCTAGAACAAATTGCTTGGCTTGTATTTTTTGTATCTTTCTATTTCACACATTTCACACAATAAAAGCTGTGCTGCATTAGCCCTAGAGCAGCCATATTTCGGAACCTATCTTGGTGTGAGACTGATTTTCCTCTGAATGCCGAGCTGCAACTCGACAGCTATGCAAAATAGGAAAGTTTATGCACAGTCACCAAGAGATGGGAGAATTCCTCCAGCTTTTCGTACCATGATGTTTTCTTCATTAGTTGGATTGCAGAATCAACTTTTCTTATGCATTTTTCTTAGGGCTGGGAGAGCAAGAGAGCTTGCTTTCACTTGCTTAGATACCACTGTAGGTTGGTACTGGAGCCAACTGGGTCTTCTTCTACAAAACTACAAAACTCGGTCTTCACTATGGATTTATTGCAAACAGAATAAGATTATCAGTTTGGAAGGGAGAGCAGCTCCAGGTTTCCAGTACACAGTGCTTGAATGGTAATGAGAGCTGCATCTCATTAGGATTAGCAATGCAAAAAGGGTTCCATTTAATGAACTGCACAAACATTTTGGCAGTTGCCAAGCAGCCTATTGCGGGGCTGTTCATGCTGTTGTCGTTCCGAGTTCCTAATGAAGCTGTCCATTACCAAATTGGAATTTTGAGGGGTTATTACTTCTCCAGGAAATTGATGCCTCAATGAGACTTGGCACCTAAGCACTCATCTCAAGGAGTACGTTCTGTGATGTGTAATCTCCTTTGTGCCGCGTACAAGACTTGCACTTCAGAGGTTGTGAAGGATGGCTTACTCTTTCAGGAGCCTGCCCAGAAAGGCTTCATGGCTTGGGAAAGCAGGCGCAAGCGGGTGGCTTGCCGCAGCCCATTTGAAAAGGCAGCCCCTTTCATGGTGTTTTCACTGAATACAAACCACATCTACATGCCTGCAGATTTGCTTGCCTTTGGTGTAAGTTGTCTACTTGCCAATCATAGAATCATAGAAGTGTAGAGTTGGAAGGGACCCAAAGGATCCTCTGATCCAAGTCCCTGCAATACAGGAATCTCAGCTAAAGCATCCATGTCCAACCTCGGATTTAAAACCTCCAAGGAAGGAGAGCTGACAAGCTCCTAAAGGAGACCGTTCCACAGTCAAACGGCTCCATGTGTATATCTTATCATGGACTGTACAAGTTCATGTATGCTCCCCCACCCTGGCAAATGACAGCTGGGGGAGGGCTTTAAATTAGGACGCTTGTGCAGGGGAAAAGAACTCGTTCCTGAACTATTGTGGCTCTGTCAACTTTCAGATTTGAAAATAAGGGATCAGCAGCCTCGAAAATAAAGGATCAGCAGCCTCACCTGTCCCGGGGACAGTCTACAGGGTATCTAACAATCCAGAATAGCAGTGGGAAAGAGCGGGAAATGGCGCTGAAATAAGGGGATTTCCCACAAAAAAAGGGAAGGTTGACAACTATGGATTTGATCTCTCTCCACACCTACTGTGATTACCTTTTTTAATAAAAATAAACAAACATTGCTGCTTCAATGGGATGGCAAGGGGGAGAACATACCAAGAAAGAACTCACCAGTTCCTGACTTCTCGTCACTCCCCACAATATTAACAGACATAAAGTAAGTTGGGCCTGTGCAGATAGGTTGGGAGGGTTCTAGTCTTCGAACAAGCCATGATCTCCAAGGAATTTGGTGAAGGAGTTTCCCTGCTCCGCAACCTTCACATTAGACTGAACCTGGAACCTTAAACATGAATACTGAAATAAAAATAATAAAAATATTTTTTTTATTTGTACCCCACCCTCCCCGGGTGGAGCCAGGCTCAGAGCAGCTAACATCATATAAATAATACAAAATGTATAAAACAAACAATCAATCCATTAAAAATGCATCCCAAAATTAATTCAAATACATTAAAATTAAAACTGAACAAATGACTATCCTCAGGTTAAAATTGAAAGCTGTTAATACTCGCCAGGACCAACTGTTTCCACTGATATTGTAAGGACCTGTGAGCGGGCTGGGAAACCTCCTTTGTGCTTGTTCTTATACAAAGAAAAAATGAGTCAGACTGAACTCCGACCAAAGGCCTGGCGGAACAACTCCATCTTGCAGGCCCTGCGGAAGGATGTCAAATCTTGCAGGGCCCTGGTCTCTTGTGAGAGAGTGTTCCACCAGGCCAGGGCCACAGCCAAAAAGGCCCTGGCTCTGGTCGAGGCCAGTCTAATCTCCCTGGGACCCAGAATCTTCAGGGTGTTGTTATTTGTAGACCATAAGGTCCTCTGTGGGGCATACCAGGAGAGCACATCAGCACTGGTCAGGTTTATGAACAAGGAATGGACTGGGGCTGAGGAGCAAGGTTGAGGACACCTACCTGGAATTAGGTTTGTGGTTGCAGCATCACACCCCAACTTTTTGGTCATGTCCATGGTGGGTACTGAACACACTGTGTGAGGCAGTGCCTGATGGAGAAATGCTTGCAGTCAAAGAAGCATTGTCTGTCCGTCCCCCGCAAGTGGGGTCAGCACAAGGTTTCTATTGCCATTGCAATAGATGTCCAATTTAAACAGCTACATCAGATTTTACTTTTTTTCTTGCCCAGAGCAAGTCTCCCCAAATAAAGAATGATAGCTGAAACGAGCAATGGCATTTAGTAGATATGCTAATTAATATCTAACAGCTATTTTCTTTGGTGCAATTAAATCCAGGCACATCCTTTTAAATTTTTAGTGCTTTTAATCAAATGGCACCTTCATTTCTTTGGCTAACCATTTTGCACACAATAGTTAAAAATACAAAGTAAATGCTCTGCAGCAAAGTATACTGGAATTTAATGAAATTGTAACAACTGTCCTACTGAATCTAATTTAGGTGCTTATTTCAGACGCTTCATTTAATGTGTTAACAAAATAAATTGCGTGTAATTGGAAGCATCAATACTGCAATGAAGGTTACTGAATTAGCAATGGGATGCAGGCAATAACACATTGGTATTAAAGAGGCAAAAGCAATGTCAATTCTTTTCAATTTAAATAATTAGGGAGGGGGAAGTAGTTCAAGGTATAACATTAGTCTTTGAGTCCTCATTGTTTATCTTTGCCATATTCTGTTTTCTTCCCAGCATGTTTTATAAGTTATCACTTTAAGATAATTCAGTTTTGAAGGCCAAATCCGCAATTAGACCCAGGGGCTAAAGTACAAATTGAAATAAATGTATACAAGATTCATAACCACTCTATATCTATAGTTTATAGGTCAACATTTTCAACATTTCCAGTTCTTTCCGTTGCTCATTTTCTGCCTACCAAAGACAATATATTTTAAAGCCCAGCTTTCAAGAATGATTAATCATTTACTTTGGGGAAATCAGACTTGTGAGGAGTCTCAGCTGACTCCCAAACTCTCTGGTTCTGGAAACGGTACATTCACAATTTAACTAAGTACTTTGTAAAGTTCTCTTAAACATAAACAGTTTAAAGGCTTCCAATTTCTTTTTCAGCAGTGTCTGTTTCCTGTGAAGTGTATCATGGGGGTGGGCATTGAAGTAAGTATTCTAACTAGGGATGCCACCAAACAATGACTTTAAAAATGGATTCTGTGGCCATATCTGAAGTTACCCTGTGCAAAGAGGATGATTCCATGGGATTTGAAAAGGTTATATGTGTTGAATCTGCTTCAAATGTACAGTGTGGATGTGCCCAAGACCTGGAAGGCAGCAGGTTCTCAGTCTAGGCTTAGTATTTCAGACACCTTATTTTACATGCTTAGTTGTCAAACATAAAGGTAAAGGTAAAGGGACCCCTGACCATTAGGTCCAGTCGTGACCGACTCTGGGGTTGCGGCGCTCATCTCACTTTATTGGCCGAGGGAGCCGGCGTACAGCTTCCGGGTCATGTGGCCAGCATGACTAAGTCGCTTCTGGCGAACCAGAGCAGTGCACAGAACCGCCGTTTACCTTCCCGCCAGAGCGGTACCTATTTATCTACTTGCACTTTGACGTGCTTTCGAATGGCTAGTTTGGCAGGAGCAGGGACTGAGCAACGGGAGCTCACCCCGTCGCGGAGATTCAAACCACTGACCTTCTGATCGGCAAGTCCTAGGTTCTGTGGTTTAACCCACACCGCCACCCGCGTCCCTTCTTGTCAAACATACCATATATGAAAAAATACAATGCAGTGAAGAAAGGTTTTGATTCTGGAGAGCTGCCCATTAAAGGAATGATTCTACAAGGCTTATTCTGAAGGCTGTGGGTGGAATAAGCTCTCCCATGCAAAGGCAAATCTAGCCCAGGCAGCATCTCACTTTGATCAGTCATGATAGGCCTGCAAAGAGAGATAAAAGATTATTTATTAAGGGTGAGTGAAAGGACTCACAGCCATTTTAGACACCAAAGGGCTCATCATGCATTACTGGATCGTAAATTCTATGATGTTTGCACAATGAAATGAATTTGATTTGGCTAATTATATCTGCCAGTGGTTGCTGACATCTAAAAATGCTTTGTTATTTAAGTGCTGGTGGTCAGAATGATGTTAATATGGGATATTTGATTCTGAACCAGATAGTTTGTATATTCATTTTAGAGAAGCCTATGAATCGTGCCTGCATATGCTAATTAAATAATGAGTTTTATTCCTTAGGAGAATTTTGTGCAGCTGACTAAATGGAAAATACGCTTTTCACAACTGGAGATCCATGAAACTTCACAGTACATACTGCAGTGGTATCTGTTTCTCACACCCACACTCACTTAAGAATACCCTGCAGTAATATTACTTAACCCTGCCAGAGACCACCTCCGTGGGTCATTGTGTTCTGCTGCAGAGCTTTTCCTTGAAGTTCCTGAAACATCAAAAGCAGGGCTTTCAGTGAGACTGCCCCTGTCTTGTGGAATAGCATCTTGTTGAGATACATCAGGTGCCTGCTATTTGTAGTTTACAGGGGGAAATGAAGATACAGGCAGTGACCATTTTGCACAGGGGTTCCTTTCCTGCCTCCCACGCTCACTAGTGTGTTGTGCATAAACCTGCCCCATCCCATTCTGTTCTGCCCCATTCTGCCCTCTTCTGCATCAAAAAGGACCCATTTGTCAGCAGTCACGCATCAATTGGACATGCACAAAATGGTCACTGCCTGTACTTACGTTTTGATAAGCTTTTCCAGCTGGATGAGGAAAATTGAAGTCTGTGCCCTGGGTGTTTATTGTTATAGCTTTACACTCATTTTTAGCTGTTCTAACTCAGGTGTGGCCCTCTAAATGTTGCTAGACTCCAACTTCCATCATCCTGGACTGTTGGCCAGGCTGGCTGGGCTGATGGAAGTTGGAATCCAACAACAGCTGGAGGGACACAGGGTTCTAGTTTAGAGTACTGTTGTAAATCACCTTGAAATTTATATGAAAGGCATTAAGTAAGTAAGTAAATTGTCCCAAGGGTTCACTAACTGTACAGAGACGCTGCACATGCCCTAGAGCATCACATTTTCAGCGAATATATAAAGTAGTACAAGTGTAGCCATAAGAAGGCATGGCAGAATTTAATGCATATAAAGGAGTTCTAATTCCCCAACTAAGGAATAAGAGAGTGAGATACAGAATTCCGCTGAACCAGGACTACAAGCTTTCTTTCAAAAAAATTTGCAACAGGCTAAACTCCAATCTCCTGTATATGTATAACTGGACAGAGATTGCAGAATCTTCTGCTCAGTGCTTTTTTCTTTTAAAAAAATGTTTAGGGGCACTCTCATTTTCCTACTCATATTGAAATACTGCCCCTCAGTGAGGCCAAACTTAGATTCACAAAATGTTTAGGGGTATGCGTCTGTCCCCCCCCCTGAAAAAAACACTGCTTCTGCTCATCTCACAAGTGGCTTTCTATGGAACACAAAGAGAGACAGTTCTGAGCAAGTCCCATCCTGCCTGCAAGTCTGTGAGCAGTTGCCATTGTTCCTCCTCCTAGTTTTTTTGCACACATCCACAAATGTGTTGAAGGAGGCTTGCCTCTGTCACACACACCTTGCATCCCCTGGTATTTGTGTGGGTGAAGCAGGCATGGGGATTCCAGTCCTTATCCCCTAATCCTTATAGTCCTAAGAGGCTGATTTAGGAAAGCCCACTTCACCATCCAATTAATGCCTCAGGGTGCTCACAAACACCTTCCTATTCCCTTCTTACCTGCACTGACCCAAAATCCAAAAGGAACATCTATGGGCAAGTTGAAGGGCCAGGATGCTACTTGGAACGGAGCAGCTATTAATGCCATAATCACCACAATTATAACAAATAAGGGCTTGACATATCTCGCTTTGCATGTCATGAGTCTATCCCATATGTTAGTTTCACCTTTTAAGTTGAATTACTGAAATAAATGAACTTTTCCACGATATTCTAATTTTTCGAGTTTCACCTGTACAGTGGTACCTCGGGTTACATATGCTTCAGGTTACAGACTCCACTAACCCAGAAATATTACCTCGGGTTAAGAACTTTGCTTCAGGATGAGAACAGAAATCGTGCAGCAGCGGCGCAGTGGCAGCAGGAGGCCCCATTAGCTAAAGTGGTGCTTCAGGTCAAGAACAGTTCTTAACCTGAGGTACAACTGTACATTTCAAAGGAAGGCTAGACATGCTACCCTGCCTTAAAGAAATGCTTGGGGGGGGGAGGTTTCTGAGCTTTTAAAATCAGAGCCCGCTCCCCCATTGGCCAGGGTGTACAAGGCTGGTGCAGCAGTAGTTCACCATTAGCACATTTTGCCTTGCCCCCCACTCCTATTGGGGATAGAATTTGAACTGCCTTTGCATTTTAATAATAAAATACCTAATCTGCAATTTTCAAACCAATATGCAAATCAAAACATGATTAGCCTTCTAAATTGACACTTTGCTGAATTTTGTGACGCAGTTCTCCAACCAGAAAATGTGTATAAAAATGCGTACATTAGTAGGGCATGCATGGGGGGGGTGTCTTAATCTAGACCAGTAGACAGATCCTCTGCAGCATTGTCATCCAGTTGGGAGTTTAGTGAAGGAAAGATTAATTCCAATTTCTATGGCAGGGATAGCTCAGTAGGTGGAACATGAGACTCTTAATTTCAGGGTCAAGGGTTCAAGCCCCATGTTAGGCAAAAGACTCCTACATTGCAGGGGTTGGACTAGATGAGCTTTGGGGCCCCTTCCGACTCTACAATTCTATGATTCTGTGATCTTGCCAATGTTACTGTCCACTTGCTGTTAGACAAGGTCTTCCAATCAAGTGCTTTGATCAAGCGCCATTGGTGTGGAAGGCTAAGAGGGCGGGTACAACAAACACCACAAATTTGAAACCTTCAGAATGATCCTGATCATTTCTGGCAACTGTGTTCTAGATGAATATAAATATCAACAGGAGAAGATTAATCAAACTCCCCCCCCCCCAAAATGAGCAGTGATGGAGAAGAGAAAGAGGTCTAGTGGAAATGAATTGGAATTACATATTGCAAACTGTTCTCATAATAAAATCTCTCTTATATTAAAGACTGCAAGGAAAGCTGCATTTTGCAATAAATCTTAAAATCCTGAAGAGAGTCTGAAGGTTTTGCGGCTATTCAGCAAACTATGTCATTAAATGTTGAAAGACCCATTTAAACACAATCTCCCAGATTGTTAGCTCATATACAGATCTGGCAAACCTAGGCTGAAATCCTAGCCCTCATTACCAATTCTGTCTGCCTTCACTAAGCTGTTTCGGACCTGCTCATTGAATATCATAATATCACTGAACAAAGGCCGCCTGCCATCCAAAAATGGCTGGATCCAGTGACAGGAAAACACAGCAAAGTTGCCCGTGTAGGGAGAGTCTCTCTAAAGCAGGGATGGGTAACCTCTGCATTGTGCGTAAGATTTGTGAACATCCCAGCTGTCCATTGGAAAGGAGCCTGGACTCTGTGGCCGTTTTTATCTCTCCCATCACTATGATAATTTGAAACATCTTTTAAGCAAGCTTTGATCTTGCTTAGAAGAACTGATCGTAAATGAACAGATTCATATGCAGAATTCTTAACATGCCGCCACATGTATAAAACCCTCTCCTTTCCCCTGGGGACCCAAAACAGAGAACCGTAGCTTGATAGCACTTGTTATGCTTCCTTCGGGGGCAGACCTTAGTAATATGGTGCCCTGTGTGGAGGAACCAGCCACACTGCCCTAAACACACCTCCATGCCATGCCCATGCTGCTGTCACCATGCATCATGGGCTTAGATTATAGCACTCTTCTTCAGCAACAGAGTCCAGTCCTTCCTTCCTTCCTTCCTTCCTTCCTTCCTTCCTTCCTTCCTTCCTTCCTTCCTTCCTTCCTTCCCCTCTCTCCCCCTCCCTCCTCTCTCATTCAGGTGCAGTTTCTCTATTGATAGAAGTAAAGGTGTGATCTGATGTGAGCTTCATTATCTGACATAATGCTCAATGATGTCACCATCTCCTCTTAATCACCATAACCACAGCTTCCCTGCTTTCTGTTCCCTTGCAACTGGCATACAACGCTGTCCTATATTGCCGAGGCCTCAGCTCCGCCAAAGTGGGTGGTAAGCTTTTGGTTCTCCAGCTGGGTCTAACCTGCAGAAAGCGCTGGAATGGGGCATTTTGGAGCAGCCTTGCAGATTCCACACAGCTATGTCAGACTGGAGCTGACATGACACATATTAGGTAGAAAGCTGGCTCCCATCTTCTGTCCTAGCCAGCATAAACCAGCAGGGCTCTAAATAAAGTGGAAGACTCCTTGCCCCCCCCCCGGTCCCTCTTTAGGATTATTCTGCCCATCAACCCATAGCTGTCCCAGATGAGATACTCTTTTTCTGAAGGTGTGGGTACCTCCTGCATGCAAAACACAGAGATCTATGGTACTTCCCCCTTACTATCCCTCTTACACTTTCAGGTTTCCTATCTTAGCGTTGCCTCCCCACACCCCACAAAAAAAATGTGCTGAAAGTTGCATGTGCATTTATGCAATGTATTTGTTTTGCACATCTCCTTCCGTAAGTTAAGTGGAAAGTTTTAAAGTTCTAATCCATGCAATTTGGAATTGTTGCTCAGTGGGTTTGCCCTAGAATAGGCTGGCATCGTACATTAGCTGAGTTTGATTGCCTTATATTACTGATCTCTTTAATTGTATCTTTAAAATAGCTTCATTTCTTTTGGCATGATGAAATAATTATCAGCAAGTTGTTGTGCTTTTTAATCATGTTTCTTTCATTACGTTTTCAATACACATTTTATTCAATCTGTGGTACACTCCTGGGAAATGCTTTCCTAATCTAGAGAAATTGTTGCAATAGTGAGGATTGGAACCCAACGGTCTCTTGTCAAATAACCTGCTTGATCCCTATCTGATTGTTTTCTCAAAGGGCTTAAATATTAATCTAATTGTTTTCTGGTAGAGTATAGATATTAATATGGCTGTTTTAGAAATTTAATATAAAATAGCAGAGTGCTCACAAGAGCTAACACTCACCTTTCTCTCCCAGGGTAAGCAGTTCTCAATCCTGAAAAGAACATAAGGATTGATAGGTCAATAAACTGTTTTATAGCAATAGTTACTCTTCTCTTTGCATTTCAAGTGTTGCTTGTCTGCAAAGATGCTCCTTTCCTCTCAGAACTTTGTGAATAACATTAAGACAGCACTGAAGGATGATCTTTAAAAAGCATGATCTGATTCACTTGCCCTAACTTCTGTGCCCCATCAAACTGAACAGGGGGATTTCAGCTTTAATTGCACACACATTTGCCCAGTTGTCAGCCTGTGTGTAATTTATTTAGTGCAGTAAATTTATACCTCACCTTTCCAGCCATAGTTAAGAATAACCATAGTTTCTGGTTTGTCTATGATATAATGAACCATGGTTACTGAAAACTTCCTAGCTCTTGCTTGTGGTCATGTTGGAAGGGCAGAGGGAATACACAAGCTCAAGGCTTAAGCACATAACGCCAACCCTTAATTTAGGATTACAGTCGTGCCTTGGTTCTCAAATGGAACCGGAAGTTCATTCGACATCTGAAAACATTCAGAAACCAAAGCATGGCTTCCAATTGGCTACAGGAGCTTCGCAAACCAGAACACTCACTTCCAGGTTCCCACCATTTGGGAGCCAAAACGTTCGAGTCACAAGGCGTTCGGGATCCAAGGTACGACTGTACATGCAGACCAGATCAATGAGACAGTTATTTGCACATCCTGGTCTCAAGCTGCTGAAGTTGAAATAAAGGCAAACAAAAGTGATTTCTACACAACAGGAGTAAGTTTCATAGCTCCTCACACCCAACCCATAAGCTTAATTTATAGGGCTCATGTGGAATGAACCACTCTGGGCTTTTGGTGCAAGGAGGTTTATTTCACTGGTCTCCTTGCAGTCCCCTGGTCAGAGCTGAGTTGGTGGCATACAGCCCAACTATCTTGCATCCTGTTCTCACAATGGCCAACCCAATGTCTATGGGAAGCCTACAAGCAGCATGTGACTGCATGGAGCTAAATTCTTGCCTGACGTTCTATATTTAGATCACCAGCTCACAAGCCACTATGATCTTCAGTTCCAACACCTGCTCCCCTAAGCACCGACTCACATTTCAGCAGTGCCACGCAACTTGAAATCAAGAGAAAGAGATCCAAATGTGGGTCCGAGATGTTAAGGCTTTTGAAAGGTATATCCAGTCCTAACGGTGTCATCTGTTTTAGAAATATGAATCGCTGAGTGTCAGTGGGTGGCATCTTCTCTGATTCCCTTTTTATGCACATGTCTGGGTATAAAATGAGAAGTATTTCAGAAGTGTAAATTCAGCATCTGTGTACAGTCATGAGATGGAAGACAATGCTGCCGTTAACCCCAGCCTGCCAAAGAATTCTGCATCCATTTCTATTGTGTTGCTGTAAAAGAAATCCGGGGGGGGGGGGGAGAGGCTGGTTCCCCATATCCATGAACCCCGAGCCAGTGATAGGAAGCATAATGCAAAGAATTCTCCAAAGTGAATAGCTTGCCCAGCTTCTATTGTTAAAAACATAATGAGTTCATGCATCTGACTGTAATGCAATTATTTCCTAGTGATGTTTAACAAGTTGCTGTTCCTATAAAATGTTACAGAGCTCTATTAATATTGCCCTTCTTTGGCTATGTAATTTTGCTAATGATCCAGCATATTTAGTGGCATTATTATGTCCTAAGAGAATGATGAGCCTCATGAAGCTTGGGTGTGCTGTTGTAACCCGTTCTGTGCTGAGAAATTTGTTCTGCCCTACTGCACCTAATTGCATTTTAACTCGTGTTGTGAAGTGGGGCTTTCTTGCTCTTGATAAATGAATAATAATTGCTTTTAATGGAAGTTTGGAGAGCTGAATCTGTTAATTGTGCAGTATTGCTGAGCATAGTGATGCATTTAGCTAACGGCTTTTCACAATACTGCTTTTTTAAATTCAGATGGAGGTTGCTGTTCCAATATTTTTATATTGACTTTTATGTCAAATCATGGTGCTAATTATAGACAGCAATGCAGCTCAGAGACTGAGATCAAATACGTCTCTACTGTATGGGTGCTAGGAGACATTTACCTGTGAGTTAACTGGGTAATGTAACTACTAATAATAGGCACCTAGGTTTTTACTCCTTAAATGCCTCTGTAGCCCTTATGTGATTCCTTTCCTCTTCTCCTGTCTAATACTGTTGTTTTGCTACTCAAACACAAAATAGCTGTGGGTGTCTTACTGCTTTCCTGATCCTAGGATAGGGATCCATTAACAAGTCCCTCAAAGTTCAGTGGTGCCTCGCAAGACGAAATTAATTCGTTCCGTGAGTTTTTTCGTCTAGCGAATCTTTTGTCCTGCGAAGCACGGTGTCGGAAAAGTTTTGGAAAAGCTTCAAAAATCACCAAAAACCTCAAAAAAGGCTACCACACCACATACTATGAGTTGCTCCTCGAAGTCAAGTCGCAACTGTATTAACGGTGTTAAGAAAAAGGAAACAAACTTGCAAGACGTTTTCGTCTTGCGAAGCAAGCCCATAGGGAAATTCGTCTTGTGAAGCAGCTCAAAAACCGCAAAACCCTTTCATCTAGCGAGTTTTTCGTCTTGCGAGGCATTCGTCTTGCGGGGCACCACTGTTCCAAGATCACTGCTGAGAAGGTTCCTGACATTTTGATGCCTATAATGGCGACTTTCATCGGAATAAAATAATTTCTCTCACTCTTGTTCCACATTCCATCGCTTCCTGAAAATGGAGAGACAGTTAGATGGTGTTAATCCATAAGAACATTGGTCTGTATAACTATCCTCTTGACAGTAGTTTTACTGCTCATTACCATTTAGTCTTGCAATTCTTCCAAATAGTTCAAGCTGGGATGCATGATTACACTCCACCCCCTTTTATTCTCACAATGGCCTTGAGAGGTACATTGGGATGAATCATAGCTGCTGGTTCGAAAGTCACCCAGTAAACTTTGTGGCTCAGCAGAGATTTGAGCCAGAGTCTCACTGGCCAAAGCACATTACTATATTGAGGGGCAGGAAGAAATCATACACAAAGTAAACTTTTTCTTCAAAACTGGCATTTTATTGTTTCTTGAGGAACATGTTATATCCGGTCAAACAAAATATGCTGTCTTGTACACACTTATCTAGCAATAAGCCCCACTGAACACAGTGAGAAACTTACCTCTAAGGTAGGGTTGCCATATTTCAAAAAGTACAAGACCCCAAAATTGTTGAGTTGTGTTTTTTTTTAGACAACCCCCTGCAAGTTGTGGAGTGCTGCTTTTTGGAAATCCCCCGGATGTCAATTCCACCTTTGAAATTCCGGTAATGTCCAGGAAAATATGGACATATTTGCATTATAAAGCTGTTCTGATAATGTAGAGCATGTGAAAAGATGTCACCCAGCTGATATTCTTGAGATAATTAATGATATAATCAGGATTCTGCTATTATATGGCCAATCTTCATGGGATCAAAGAATAGCTCAACAGCCTTTGTTCAAAGTTTCCTTCATCTTTTCTGGCTGCAATCCTATTAACACACTTACTTGAGAGTAAACCCTATTGAATTCAATGAGACTTAGTTCTGAGTAGACGTATATTGGACAACACTATTAATGTGGCATAATTCACTGACAGATAAATTCCATAGTTACAATAAGTCAGAGAAAGAGGGAGACTAAATTGTATTTTTCCATAGAAAGCCACTACGGCAAATAATTTCAGTGTTGCTTTGGTACTCATTTTGTTCTGAGATCATTCCAGTAATGTGGGCAGTTTCCATTGTATTAAGATAAAGACGTGTTTGGCAGACGATCCTCCCTCACTCTTCCTTTAGAGCCTACCAATGACTGAAATAGGCTTTCCTTTCCGGTTTAATAAGCAAACAGCATAATCTTATTTAAGCCTATGGTTTAAACAGCTGTGTTAAGGGGGGGACTGCAGAAAATCTATTTCTAGTAATGTGCTTACAGGAGCTAAAGTACAGATATTGTTTTCATGAGATTTCTGGACTGTTTGATTCCATGTGGACTAAACCAGATTATCGTGAGAAAACGTTCCATAGTTCTGGTGCATTGTTTCACTTTATCTAATATAGGATACCTTAATAGGTATCCTGCAACACTGATGGGTTGTTTCTCCACCGACTCCCTTCTAAACTAATAAAAGCAGGTGTTGCAGGTGGAATTCAAACAGCCCAGTAAATGCTGCCCCTTCCCTGCCTGTGCTTTAGTCACAATTTCTCTGGTAGTCTTTACGGAGGGCAGCTGTGTCTGATGGAATTCCTGAAGCAGGCAACCAGGTTTGCACTCCTTTAACACCAATGAAAACAGTCATTTCTCCCACTCAAAAAAACAGGCATTTCTTCCGGGGGGGGGGAGCAATATCTTCAGCACATCACCAAATCAAGGACAAAATAGCACTTTAAAAAATGACTCCAGTAAAGGTCAGGTGAAAGCCTTCTGTTTTGCAGCCATTTAGCTGACTCACGGTATGTGACTCATGCTTTGAATTTGCTTAAGTACAAAGGCAGCTTAAGCAAAGGCAGCTCATCCTTTGCCAGGACTTAGCTGGTTGAGAAGAGAGAAACTGAAGGAGTCAATGAATAGGAAAGGTGCCTGGCAGGGAATTGAATTTCCTGTGTAGGTGAACAGCACTGAATCTCCTTCAGGCATGTGGGGGTGGGAAATAGGATGGTAAGCAGTGCTGGGCAGAACTCTCAAGCACTGCTTTTTATTAATTTGCATCAGTTGCTGCATCTTGCTGGTATTTTTACTGCATTTTAAAGGATGCAATTATATATTTGAAATTGTGGTTGGGGTGTGTGTGTTCTGTGCTCTGCCTTGTGAGAGCGCCTGTCCTCAAAGGCGGGATATAAATTTCTTAATATATTGCAAGCATCCCTCGTGATCTGTTACCTTGCCACCAATAGCTTGGAGAGCGAGGAGATGTGCTGGCTTTATTCCTATTGCCCGGCCCCCTGTGTTAGAAATCTGCTCTTCAGAAACAGTCTTATGAACTGTGACTTGTCCTAGTGGTTAGCAGGAAGGTGACTGTTTATTTCCTCTCTGAAGTGTCTCATGAGATATTTCTGAGGAACAAGAGTTCTTGGGAGCAAGAGTTCACCATCTTATGATGGTGAACATGAAAGAAGTGGTTCTTCATATTTAAAAATCTTCTAGCGAGTTGAAGATTAATAGATTAGATACAATCAGCAGATCCTAACATTTTCTAAGGTTATGGTAAGCTGTGGAGAATGTGATTTGAATACAGAAACATTTAATGTTATTAGGATCAAAGCACAATCACCATGAAAATCCTTTACTTATAATTCATGCAAATTGACTTCCTTTAAACTAGACTTCTCAAACACTTGATATCTGGCTTATTATTGTGTTATTAAAAGTGGAGTCTGCAACGAAAAGCTGCAGTATGAAATGTTTCAGGGTACTCCTTTCCATTTGCCTTCCCATTAAATTTTTTCACACATACACCCTGCCCTTTATAGTCAGACACCATTTCCTGGCTACTGAGCAGACTCAGTTTTCATTGAGCTGTAAAGGGGTGCCTATAAGCCCACCTTGTCCCATTCCACCCTGTATCACCCTGCCCCACCCCACCCTGCCCCACCCCACCCTGCCCCACCCCACCCTGCCCCATTACGCCCCCCTTCCCAGCCACTTCTGTGTTTGTGGTGTTGAACACATGTATGGCCACACATGCTTTGAACGTGTGCAAATTGGCCGTTGCTTGTACAGAATCAGATGAGTAAATGGTTAATTTTTACTAGATAAGTAAACAACACTTTAGGATAATAAATGTACATAAATGTCTTTCTAGGTTACAACTTGTACTAAAAAAAAAAGTATTAGTATTATTTCTTTAGATATACCCCGACTTTTCCTTAACGGGACTCAAGGGGAACTGTCAGATGGACCATATTTTTTTGCTTGAAACATACTAACTGTAATGCTTTGGTACCACTTTGTTTTTGTTTTATATATATATATATATATAGAGAGAGAGAGAGAGAGAGAGAGAGAACAAAAATTTCACGGTTATGCATATTTTTGAAATTTAAAATAAGATCTAAAGGGAGAGGATGAAAGAAACAAAATCTCAAACTGGTGAGTCAATGGGGCGAACTGAGAAAAATGAGAAACCGAAACCGACACCTTTGTTAATTTCTTCTCCCAGGTAAGAGGGCATTGGATTGCAGCCTTGGTGAGAAATTTGCCATCATTCTACAAGAAACTCTGGTACAAAGGGGCCAAGTAGGTACTTTTCTTGACTGTGCAGTTTGTTCAGGTTATCCTGGGGGACGATCTACTTTACTCCTTTGAGCAGCTGCAAGATTAAAACTTAAATG